AGCACACCCAGATTCGTAAAGCACACCCAGATTCGTAAAGCACAGCCCCACCAGCTAACTTCTGATTGGTTCCTTGCCACAAGCAGGGCATCTGACCTCCTAGTGACCAGGACAGGAGCCGCAAGGTCATAGGAGCACATGGTAGCCTGTCACGGCTGCTAAAACGGGGAGGCTGGTCGCTTCGATGACAAAGCCAGAGAAGGAAGCAGAGAGCAGGGAGGGAGCCATGGCCTAAGTATAACTCTCAGACGCCCCCCTTAGTGACCCATTTCTACCAGCTGGGCCCAGATCTCCAAGCTTCACCACCCCAAAAAGCACTACCAGCTGTGGATCAAGTGTGCAAAGCAGGATCCTCTAGGGGACACTTAAGATTCATGCTGTAGGACTCTGCCCCTTATCCCCAATGGCGGCCATCTCATAATACAGAACATGCTCAGTCTGGTTGCTAGGATCTCCGTGTTCCTAACAGCTACAGTGTCATTTACATTTCTAAGGTCAAAAATGTCTGCTAAGACCTAAGAGGCTGCCTCTTAGCTGCAAATCCCTCCGGCACGAAGAACACTCACCTACTTCTAGCCTACAGTGGCACCCACTAAGCGTTCCCACCACTTTCAACAGGCCTTCAAGAGGCAGGAACTGGGACACGGGGAGGGGAGGCGGAGCCAAAGTGAGACTAAGCCCAGTGTGGCAAACTGGGCTTGAAGCTTCGTGTACATGTCATAAGGCACCATGATGTGAACTCCAAAACGCTCAGGTGCCCTCCTTTGGCTGCGTGTGTCTCAGGGTTACCATTGCTGTGATGAACCACCAGACCGAAAGCTACTTGAGGAGGAAAGGGTATACTTGACTTCCGTATCGCAGCTCATCATTGAGGGGACTTGGCAGGAACCTAGAGAAGGGAACTGATTCAGAAGCTATAGAAGGATATCGTTCACTGTGTTGGGTTGCCCATCATGGCTCAATCAGTCTGCTTTCTTTTCTTCTTCTCCCTCCCTCCCTCCCTCCCTCCCTCCCTCCCTCCCTCCCTCCCTCCCTCCCTCCCTCCCTCCCTCCCTCCCTCTCTCTCTCTCTCTCTCTCTCTCTCTCTCTCTCTCTCTCTCTCTCTCTCTCTTTTTCTGTTAGCTTTGTTTGTTTGTTTGTTTTTTCCGAGATGGGGTTTCTCTGCATAAGCCCAGGCTATGCCGGAACTCACTCTGTAGATCAGGATGGCCTCTGACTCAGAGACCCGCCTGCCTCTGCCTCCCAACCCCCGGAATTTAAGGTGTGTCCCACCACTGCCTATGCGATCTGCTTTCTCGTAAAGTCCCCAGGATCACCGGCCCAGGTGTGACCCCACCCAAAAAGGATGAGTCCTTCCCACAAAAATTACTAATTTCAAAATAGCCCTGCAGGCTTGCCTACAGTCCGACCCTCTGGAGGCATCTCCTCCCTGGAGGTTCCTCTCTTCTCGACGACTCTAGCTTGTGGCAGGCTGACAGAGAAATACTACCCAGGATAGCATTGTGATTGGCATCCCACATAGCCACATTGTTGAACTGGCTCCAAGTGAGTGCATACAGCTTCCTTGGCAGATACTCCACTTGTTTCCAGAAGATCTTCATTGCAACTCAGGCTGCACCCTCAGGACTTTATGCAGCCAGCCATCTAGCGCCCCCTTCAGGGAGTCTGACCTGTCATACAATGACATGCTTTTTTTCTGGAATCTTGTTAGAAGCCTTCCCGAGTCCCTAACTCCTGCATTACGTATGCCTGGTTGTAAGTGCCACACGGATAGTTTCAAGCTCTACTGCTAGTGGCCCTCTTCTTGGATCATGGCCACGGTGGCATCTGAGTGCGTAGGTGGTGAAACACTTCCTAAGCGGATATTTTTCCAAACCTCCTAAATTAAATCTTCAACATTATGCTCTGAATCCTGCAATGGTAGACTCTCAGTAATTTCCCAAATGCCCTCAAGTAATTTTTTTGAGATCAGGTATCTCCCTGTCCTGGGTAGATTCTCAATAATTTCTCAAATGCCCTCAAGTAATTTTTTTGAGATCAGGTATCTCCCTGTCCTGGGTAGATTCTCAATAATTTCTCAAATGCCATCAAATAATTTTTTATGAGACTGGGTGTCTTGTCTTGTCCTGGCACCATAGACTAGACTCGCTGTCCGGGGAGGGGGACCCACCTGACTCCAGTTCTCCATCGTAATGCTTAGTTTCTCAAGCGTGAGCTCTAAGGATCAAAGTCCTGCCATTTGTGTATCTGTCCTAACAAGAATGAAGACACTGTAAATATACACATGTCTGCCTCTGACCATCAGGCTGTTAAAACTATGGAGCCCAAGAAACTGGAGTTTTTCTCCAGGAATCTCATGATAGAAGAAGGAAAAGACTGAGATTCTGGGGCCATCCAGGAGGGTTTGTGTCCAGGAAGGATTTAAACCTTTATATACATACATACATACATACATACATACATACATACATACAACATTACAAGAAACTCAGAATCTGAGCTGACCATAACTGCTAAGTAAGACATACCTTAACCAGCACTGTTGAGTGAGACTATTTTAACCAAGACTATTGACTTACTATGTACACTTCTGGTTCCCCTAACGTTCAGCCTCATGTTAGCAGATGGGCCAGAGGCAGGGGGTGTCACTGAACTTCTTTATTCTTCTTTCTGATATTGTGGCATTGGCTACAGTCCTGTTTTCTGCACTTCAATGTTACCCATACCATGGCTTATTGAGGACAGGTGACCAAACCCAGTGTTCTGGCTGTCAGGGCCAAAGTCTGACTTCTGCACCAGTAGTTTTCTGACTGAAGTTGCCACCCACCGATGCAGGTGCCGAGTCCTAATGGTCACAACTAACACACTCATTTTCTGGGCAATCTGCATATTTCTCACATCTTTCTGCTTGGCCTTTTACTTCCAATTCTCACTGTAAACTTGGCAGGAAGCAGACGGTACTGACCATGCTCAAATGCTATGCTGTCTCGAAGTTTCTTCCGCAAGTTAGTCCAGCGCTTTTTAATCAAACCTCACTCAAAGTTTCAAAACACGGGCAAGACATAGACACATCTGTAGCCAGACGTTCTTTGTCATGGCTGGTTCTGCCACCTTTCAGTCCCAAATGGACACACAGATGCTATATTAGTTATAAAACTGTTGGCTGGTGGCTTGGGCTTCTTACTGGCTAGCTCTGTCTTAATTATTAACCCATTTCTATTAATCTATATTTCCACGTGTTCTTGGCTTACCAGAAAACACCTTTCACATCCTTTCCCCCAGGCTCTACATGATGGATGTCTCCATCTGCCTACCTTTCCCAGAATTCTCCTTGACTCCTAGACCCGCCCTATCTTCCTGCCTCATTGGCCACAGTGTTTTATTCATCAACCAATAAGAGAAGCACATACACGGAAAGACAGTCCCCATAACACATCCTTTACAAGTAGCATTACCCAAATAGCCTCTAGATCACATAATATGGGGTACCTTTGAAAATGACAGAGTTTTCTTGGGGATCTAGGACCCCAGAAACTTATGTACATCAAAGTTTCACTGAGCCAACGGCTTTTAAGTTCTTGTCTGTCACATTCAAAGAATGGAATTCACAGTCGACAGAGTGAGTTTTTAGAGTTATTATGGATTCAGAGGTGGGGGTTCAAGAGGATAAGGAAGGAAAACAATGATTTTTTACTTAGTCATGGAGGTCACCCAAGCAGCAGATAAGCAACTGCATGTCAAAAAGCAAGGTGGCTGCAGAGGAAGAGTAAGGGAAACCTAGAGTTACACACACACACACACACACACACACACACACGGACAGAAAAGAAAAAGAAAAATCATACACTGAGGCTCCAAATGACGCTGTAAGGATAAGCGACACACTTACTGAAAGTAAAACTAAGTATTTATTGTAGAAATTACTCACAAGATACCAAACAAGTAACCCAGATGAGCCAAGTAGCTTTCTGCTGCCGAACCGGAAGCTGAACTCTGGGAAAAGAGACCGAGACTTCCTGTGTGCTGTCTTTTATGCCTTCCCCCGTAACGCCCCCTAGCCATGCCCAAAAGTGGGCCTGGCTAGTGACGTAGTTCACCGCCTACGTACGTATATGTCTTTAGTCATGCCTAAAGTGGGTGTGGTTAGCTTCTCAAACTTTTTTTAATGATTATTGTTCTTAGATTTATTTATTTTTATATTATGGGTATGGGTGTTTTGCCTGCATGCATATCTGTGGACCATAAGTGTATCTGGTGCCCATAGAAGCCAGAAGAAGGCATCGGCGGATCCCTTGGAACTGGAATGATTGATAGGTGATGGCAAGCTACTACGTGGTTGCCAGGAATCAAACCCAGGTCCTCTGGAAGAGGGATAGATGCTCTTTACCCGCTGAGCCATCAACAAACAAACAAACAAAAAAATTAACAAAAAAACAACAAAAGAAAAACCCACACAACAGCAACAGCAAAACAGGCATCTTTATAACACTGGGCAAGAGCAACCTCTTTAGAACTAGTTTGCTCTTCACTGTTTTTCATGGCACAATGCTTTGGCCTGATTTTCCCTTCTTTCTCCCTGTTATGAAGTCAGGAGAGCCATCTGGGACACTGAACCGGTGACTTTGGGGGGCACTTTGATATAAGCAATGCTTCGTCCTGAAGTGAGAGGGCCGTATCAAGTGTAGGGACTCTCAAAGGCTGCACGGCCATTGACCAATGCAATGCACAGAGACAAGGCGTTTGTCTGCCTGTGGAGCTGAAGAAGACAGCAAATGGTTGTCACTTAGCAAATGGTTGTCCTAAGCAACCACAGGAGGTAGAAAGAAGGGACCCAGGGGTGTACCCTGGGGACTCTCTTCCAAGTCCAGTGACAGGCTGGACCCAAGGCACCGACTGTCCTTACACCCTGCACCCATTTGTCCACACAAGTCCAACCCGCTATTGGATTGCGCATTCAAAAAGGCAGCGTCACCCTGAGCCCTGATAAAAGAGGCAGGAAGAATAATTGGCCTTTTAATGTGATAATGTACTTTTTCCCTCCCAGAATTCTCACTCCCATGCAGTTCCTTTAGGCTACATAAGGTCCCTTTGGGTCTGCCCCTCTCTCCGGATTAAGACTCAGAATGGCATAACTTCCTTGTTCTCTCCTCCAGGTGCTGGCCAGAGCCATGCTTTCCCTGGCTCGTTGACCTTTTTCATGCTTTCTCTAAATCTCCATTCTCTGCCATGTGGCTACTTATTTACCCAGTGGCTGTCCACCACGCCTAACTCAAATATCTCGGCTCTTTCTTTCCTTCTTAAAAGCTCTAGTCTACGGATTTGTAAGGAACTCCCTCAGACTCACCCTTTATGGCCTGCAGATTTCACCATCCTGTGAATTTATGAGTCAGGAATCCAGAGGCCATTGCATGGGGTAGGGGTGGGGGAATGGGAGGGCTTTTTGGCGGCCATCAAGTTTCAAGACCATCACTCCTCAAGAAAGACACCTTACCCAAGGATATCCCAAGATCCCAGGACCATTGTGCCCACAAACCTTAAGAAAGGTGTATACACAGACCAGCATTCTGCTTTTTCCTGCTTTGGCTTTATCTTAATTTCCACTGTCCTCATTTGACACGCAAGAGGCGTGGTCAGCTCTGTCTCCTGCTTCTCTTCTTTGCATCCCCCCTTTCACTTGGAAGCTGGGCACCTTCATTTAAAACTAGGCAGACAGGTTTTCGTGGGAAACCCGAGTCAGGGTTGCCAGGGTGGGGCGCTGGGAAGGCTTCCATAGCAGGGCAGCACTTTTGGGCAAGCCACCAAAAAAAAAAAAATGCTGCATCCGCAAGGTTCAAACAAAAGTCTGTCATTTCCAGTTACCTTGTCCTTCTAGAAGTTCAGGTTAATGAGGACCTTGGCTTTCTTCCTTGGAGACAATGACAGGGTATGGTAAACACGATGCTTCTCTTTCTTGTTTTATTTTCCATGTCCGTCTGTGGCTGCTGGCCATTTGGTGAGAGAAACACTGTTAATTTAGCTCTCTACAGTCTCTTCCTGGGCAGGAGATATCCCCTTCTTTCCCTCTCACTCTGGCTCCCTCTGAGAACTGGAAGACAGAACATCTCAGGTCAGGTTGCGGGGAAGGAGGGAGAGGGCAAACAGGGTTACCAGGGAGACGCTTTTCTGAACTGGGGGAACTACCACACAGAGCTCCCGAACCTCTAACGCAAGCTTAGTTGTTTTCAATAAGTTGATTTTTTCGGTTCCTTGAAATCCCACCAACACTGAGGCTTTTGGATTAGTCTGGCCTCAGCCCACATCCTGATCAGGTGAGACAACATGACACCGCAGGTGCTTCCTCCTTCCCAGTTTCTGCAGGTGTCTCCAAAGCCACGGCACCACATGTGGTTATTAGGCACACCTGTGCACATTTCCCATTTCTTTCAAATAATCCTCTCCCCAGAAGAGTTTTGTTTTGTTTTACCTAGGAGCTGTGACAAAACCTTCTGAAAAGAAGCTGTGTCTGGGAATGATTGACAGACTAGAGTTCCATATTGTGGAGAGGTAGGAATGTTGCCAGTCCAGAGGCTGGTTGCTTACTCTTGGGCTAGTTCTAGCTCTCCAGAATAGCCATCCCTTGCCCTCTTCTGTGTGGGAACTAACATGTTGTGACAAATAGATAGATACCTTTTGGAATCTATTGACTTAGCAGACAACTAGCTTCCACCAGTCTGGAAGTTAGGAACGCCATCAGACGGCATCTTGGACTTATAAGGAAGCTTCCCCATCTTGCTGTGTCCAACTCTGTGATGCACCCAACAACGCATCTTAAAGTTGTCTTGATTCATGACTTTCTTTACTTGGTAAAACTATGAACGCCTCATGAAACTGCTTCCAGGTTGGCACACGGAATTTGAGGTAATTTGACTCTATCTTCCCAGGCCATGCATGGTCACTCTTATTAGTTTGCATGGTATTTATCAGTCTCTAGATGAGACTCAAAGTTTCCCCAGCCACAAGCTTCCAACACTGGCCAGCTACCAAAGGAAGCTAACACCTCGAGATTGCTAGACTCGGGAAGATCGTGTAAATTTGCAGTGGGAGAAGTTTCAAATACAGAAGCATCCCTAAATTGTATCAGTTGTACCCAGACCTTAAAGAAGGAAATGCCTGATGTCTTTCGGTACTCACAGCTGGCCTAAGCCAGACAGGAGAATAGAAAAGCGGCCTCTAGTGGGACTATCACGGTATTATATCCTGCAACTTGAACTCTTTGTAGGAGGCCATGTACTCACTAAGTCTTCAGTGTGTCTGCCTCTACGTGCAGACACGCACTAACTGGTTGTGGGTACAAGCTTTCAAACAGTCACTTCAAGTCTAGGCAGAGAGGATCCCAGGTTAAACACTGGTAAAGACTGTCCACTTGATCCTCGTTGGTCAATGAGCGCTGATTGCTGCACATCCATGACCTTATAAAGCTTGAAAACATTGCAGGGTGACCCTTCAAACCTGAGTGTTCTTCCTGTGATGACACCTAAAGGGAAACATGTTCTCTGTCTCCTGCCAGTCGCTGCTCCCGATCTACAGTCCAACAGATGATAAAACTCCTCTGAACAAATCTGTGCAAGGTTATAAGGGGAGCCTGGCCAACTGGACCGTTCAGTTCCCCACCCAGGCAGGAGGTTAACTTCTCTTGACCAAAAGGAAACAGTTTCCCTTTAGTGGACCTTTACTGCTGCTGTGGCACAATTCTCAACGGGGTTCTCATGCACCCCAACCCTTCCCCCACACTGGCTCATACTTCACTGTCCTGTGTCAGCCCTCTGCTCTTCCAAAGCCTTAGCAAAGTCGCCCAATAAACTTTGCTTTCAACATCCCAAGACTGCTGTAGCCCATAGCTCAGACTTTCCCACATTCTTCTTGTAGACAAGCCCCAAAGACCTAAGAGTGAGACGGTCATGGTTAGTCACAGGGCTGACTCCACCTTTCTGAATCAGTGTTCCCAACTGACAGGGAGAGAAAGCTATTTTTCTTTTGTTACGCCATCGCTGCTGCCCTTCTGTTATTTTCTTCCGTTTTTGTACTTTCCACACTCAACTTAAAACCACCTTAGGTTTGCATTTTAATTTGGGGTCTATAAAGCATGGGGGAACCCACATATATGTATTGATTAAATTCTTTTAAAAATAAAGCCACGTGGTGTGTTTCTGCATTGTCAGACTTCAGCTCCTGCTGTGTCCCCGTCTGCTCTGCTCTGCTCTGCCTACCTGTGCGGGTTTCCTCTCCACATTGTGGCTTTTGGATGTTGAACTTCTCTCTTCTCTTATCTCCCGTCTTCTTTCCTTCTTATTAGCAGTTGCGTTCTATTAGTCTAGGTCTAAAGAATATCAACTATCAACGTTATAAAAATTCTGCTGGCTTTACCTATCGGAGGGCAAATGTCAGTGCGATGGGACTGAGGACATTGATTTAAATATATAGATTCATTTCTTCCAGAGATGCCTCTATAAGTGCTGGTTGAGAGGGGAATGGGAAAATGTTGTGTTTTATGGACCAGAATGGTAATCAGCCCACTGATTGCTAGGACGTGAATTCAGACTCACAAGAAGGGAGCATTTCCCTTGTTTGTTCTCTTAATTCTGTTAGCAAATCTTATTTTCTTAAATGCATAAAATCCCATTACAAGGTAGTATCTGTGCCCAAAATTAACCCCCGGCTCTCATATATTAACAAACATTAATCTCTGGAACCAATGTGGTACTCTGGTTATCTGATAACAACTAATTTCCATGTATAATGACTGCAGACCTGTGTTGTCACAGCATAGGTGTATGTGTGACCTCCAGAGATGTTGCCAGCACTGTGGTTCCAAGACAAGAACATTCCTCAGAACTCCTGGAATGCTCTGAAGCACAGACACACACACACACATACACACACACACACACACACACACACACACTCCCCCGCTATCTCATATAACACTCCTTCACACACACTTTCACACACACTCACTCTCTCTCACATACACACACACTCTTCTCTCTTTCTCTCTTACGCACTCACACACATTCATGTCACTGTAAAATAAATCACACACTTGATGAGGGTATAGGTAACTATTCATTGTGTAAGGTACTTACAAGAGAAATTGGCAACCCAGGTGAGTCAGCAGCTTCTCTTGACTACATTTCCCAGAATCCTCCTCGACTCCTAGTCCCACCTATCTTGCTTCCCTATTGGCCAACAGTGCTTCATTTATCAGCCAATAGGACAAACATATACACAAAAGGACTTCCCCCATCACAGTCCTCTCTCTCTCTCTTTCTCTTATACACACAGTCTCTCTCTCTGACACATACACTCACACACATACACACGCACGCACACACTGCCCTTCAGAAGCATACCTCGATGCTTGTACCTGCATATCTGATCTTGTTGGAAAGGTGTGAGGCCTTTGCTTCCGTCAGAAGCTCTTGATTGTGTCACTGCGATGACCCAGAGACCGGGCAGTCAGAGCAACCCCTTGAAAGGACCGGAACAAACTGGAGCCCTGTCAAATCAGCCTTCACTAGCAAACGCTACTCCAGTGGGAGACTAGGAAAAAAAGCAGAAAGCCAGAAGGTTCTAACACTTTTAGCAAACTGCCAGCCTAAAAAGTTAGCATCAAAACCTCAGCAGCTTTACTGTACACTAATAACAAACATAACAAAAATCCTGGGGGGAGGGGACAATCAATACACAACATGGTGTGGCCTTAGTCAACTAATTACAAAATACCTTGGAATGCATTTAACTGAGTGACTGAATGGCTTCCATGCTGAAAACTTTAAAGTACACGCATACAAGGAATCAGAGAAGATCCTAGACTATGGGAAGACTTTGCATGTTTACGAATTAAAGGAATTAAAATGGGTGCTCACTAAAAGCAATTTACAGATTCGATGTAATCCCCACAAAAATCCCAATTTTACTCTTCACAGAAATAGGGGGAAATATTACAATTCACATAAAAAACACAAACGACCTCAGATACCCAAAGCAAGACTGAGCAAAAAGAAAAACTGTTTCCTCAATGACTAAGGATGTTGAGTGTGCTTTCTTGTCCTTACTGGATATGGGATCATGTTCTTTAGGGAATGTCTATCCGAGCCATCGGCTCATTTTAAAATTAACCTGTTTGTTGTTGTTGTTTTGTATTATTGGGCTTTAGTCTGGATACCAGAACCTTACCAAACACAACTTGTAATGTTTTCTCAAAAACAGAAACCAGTGCTGGTGGTATCAACACACCACTGGATCACAGACCCTGTGAGTGACTGTCCCAGAAATAGAACTCTATACCCCCCCCAAGCTTCCCAAGGACAGAGGAAGTGTCTCTCTCAGTTAAGAAGCTATGCTATATTGTGTTCTTACAGCCCCTCTCCCTTGAAGCTGCAAGATCAGTTTACCATCCCACCCAGTAACTTGCTCCCTATCTAGGATGCATTTGACTAAACCACACCGTGTGAGATTTCCCACCAGCTCCCCCAAACCTTTGAAGTCAGACTCACTTTTGTTCAGGGGATTTCTCCTTCAGATTCGCTAGTCTTGCTGATCATCTTGTTGACGCCTTCCCCCATTCTTTCATGTTAAGTTTATCTCTTGCAATGACGTTTTCTCCCCCCCCTCCCCCCCCCCACTTTTCAGGCACAGTCTCCCTTTCCTTTTAAGATGCTAACACTGATATGATGACGCACTGTCTCTCCTACCATTCTTCCACCCTCAAGGCCCAGTCACGGCCCCACGGTCCTGAGACTCTCTCTCCTAATAAAGCTTATTCCGAAGGGTAGTTGGGCTCCCTTTTCTTTCTACATCGCCCGTCTTCTGTGCTCTTTATTGTAAGACACGCCCAGTTCCCAGTTATATTACAGATCAGAGTAACGAAACCGGCACAAAACTGTGGAATAGCATGAGGGCTCCAGAAATGCACCCATGCAGCTGCAACCACTTGATGTTTAACTAAGGGGCTAAAAATATGAATTGGGGAAAACGCAGTCTTTTTAACAGTAGTGCCAAGGAAACAGGGTATCTACCTACATGTAAAATAACAAGACTATGCCCCCATCTCTCACTCAGTACAGAAATCATCTTCAAACGGATTAAGCATTTTAAGACCTGAAACACTGAAAAATGTAAGTAGAAAAAGTGAGGTAGGGGAAATTTTCAAAGGAGAGGCAAAGGAAAAGAGTCTGTCTGTAGGACTCTATTTGTCATGGAAATGATGCCAGCAATTTACAAAGGCGGATTTCAAGGAATTATAAAAACTTGCGCTGTGGGTGGTGGCAGCACATGACTTTAATGTCAGCACTGGGGAGGCAGAGGCAGGCAGGTCTCTGTGAGTTGAAGGCCAGCCTGGTCTACAGAGCAAGTTCCAGGACAGCCAGGGATACACAGAGAAATCTTGTCTCCAGAAACAAATGAAACAAAACAAAACAAATAAAAGCAAACAAACAAACAAAAACCACAAAAATAAAACCTAACAAAAAAACCCTTGTGCTAAAAAATAGTTAACCAAATAAAAAGACAGCCTGCAAAATTTTTGTTAAGTATACATATGACAGTTATTATCTACAACATATAAAGACTTAAATCAATAACAAGAAATCAAACAACCCAATCAATAAATGTGCTAATGAAATAAACAGGCAATTCTCAGAAGATGAAAAGCAAATGGCCCCTAAGATATATGAAAATAATCAACATCATTAGCCTGCAGAGGGATGCAAGTTAAAACTACCTTAAGACTCCTTCTTACCCAGTCAGAATGGCAGTCACCAAAAAGAAGAATAGCCCATGTTGGTGCAGCTGTGAACAAAAAGGAACCAACACACACTGCTGCTAAGGACATAAAGTCATGCGCCACTAGGGAATCCAACATGGAGGCCACTCAGAAACTAAACGTAGATCTACCATACGGTCCACCTATCCTACTTCCGGATATTTACCCTAAGAACTTCAAGCTGACATATTAGAGACATACTTGTACATCAGTGTTTATTTCCGTTCCAGTCCCAGCAGCTAAACTGCAGACCCAACCCAGGTATCTATCAACAGAGCAATGGGTAAGGAAATTTACATGTATGCCGTGTTCCATTGTTTGTAGGAAAATGGGTCCCATTTCAGTTAATCATACAAAGTGGGTTGACTCAGTCTCAACAAAACCAAGTACAAACGTTTTCTCTCGTTTGTGGTTCTAAGAGTTTGTGTAGATGCATAAAGTCATGTATACGTATGTAACGAAGAGAAACTGTTTAGAAGGCAAGAAGGACTGAGGCAGAAATGGGGAGATAGAAATGGTTGACGGCAGGGTGGAGGAGTGTGCTCAAGGTACGTTACATATCCGTCTGAGGAAGTAACCCAGTATCCTGTACAATGAGTACGCACTAACAGGAAAAACAAAATAAGCAAACCCAGAAGGCAACGAAGGGCTTGAGATTGTGTAAGGCATGAGGGATTACACCGGAATGGTAAAAAATAATGGTGGAGGCAGAGGTCTGTGAGCACAGGAGCTTCCACACCATTTAATCTAGATGAAATTTCTAAAGCAGCTTCTTTCAGCAAGGAAAAGTCAGTCTCTAGCATTGCTACTTAAAACGAAATGTGACACAGAAGTCAGGGTGTGGCTACATGTGTTCAGACCCTCAGCGCCCCAACCTATCATTCTTAATTACCTGGTGGGCTGGGAATGTTTCTTGTTCTGCCTGTGCTTATGTTACGCAGCAATAAGAGAATGAGGAACAGGGAGGGGGAGGCATATTTGAAAACCAAGTATGTTTTTTTGTTTAAATGTCAAAAATGAACTGGAAAGATTTGCACCGGCTCATTTGACCTGGGTTCTAAGAGGGCTTTGATTCCTAAGCGCCACCCAGCAGAATGCGCTGAGCCCAATAAGGCAGCTGAGGCGATTATAATCAGGTTCTCACTTCTCTGAGCAGCCTGCAGAACAAGTAAGAAAAAAAAAATCTAGTGTTGATGTAGTAGTAACTTCAGGTAGGAGGCCCTAAGAGGACAAACATTAACAGGCTGGATGCAGGTGTGTATGTGTGTGTGTGTGTGTGTGTGTGTGTGTGTGTGTGTGTGTGTGTGTGTGTTGGCCGGAGCCCTAGAGAGAAAGCTAACTATAGGCAGGCCAGCCCCCTGCTCAGATGACGATTTGAGCCTCCAGCTGTTGAATTTCATCAGCTGGAAGAAAAGAAATCACGGAGGGATATTGGCTCAGAAATAAATCTGACCCCAGAGAAACACATGGGGCTAATGCTTGTGCGCGGGAGGCATAGTTGACACCTAGGATGCCTCCTCTGGTTTCAGGGTTTCAGAGCACATTGTGGTGGATGGAAAGTGTGGGTCGTTGTCAGGACAGCGATAAAAGTTGTGGGAGCATCGCGAGGTGGGGAGGGGGAAGGTGAGGAAGCTGAGCGAAAGAGAGGGGGTGAAGAGGATGGGAGAGGAGGACTTGGGGAGCAGGATAGTTGAGTAGGGGGAAGAATAGAGAGAAGGATGAGAGATACCATAATATAAGGAGCCATTATAGGTTTGAAGAGAGATCTGGTACTAGTGAGATGTCCAGAGGCCTACAAGGATGACCAATAGTGGAGAGGCTACCTTAAATGCCCTTCCCTGATAAAGTGATTGACGACTTCCTTGTATGCCATCCTAGAGCCTTCATCCAGTGCTTGAAGGAAGCAGAGGCAGACACACACAGTTAAACACTGAACTGAACCCCTAGAACCCAGCTGCAGAGAGAGAGGAGTGATGAGCATAGGTGTTATGACGTGGAGGGTGAAACCTACAGAAGTAGTTGACCTGAACAAGGGGGGAGCTCATGAACCCCAGACTGATAGCTGAGAGGCCAGCATGGAACTGATCCAGACCCCCCTGAACGTGGGTGTCAGTGAGGAGGCCTCAGCATCCTTTGGGGTCTCAGGCAATAGATCAGCATTTAGCCCTGTCATCCAAATGGACTTTGGGAGCCCATTCCATGTGGAGGGATGCTGTCTCCGCCTGGACACATGGGGGAGGGCCTAGACCCTGCCTGGATGATATGACAGACTTTCCAGATCCCCCATGAAGGACCTCACCCTCCTTGGAGAGTGGAGTGGGGATTGGAGGAGAGGTTGGGGGAGAGCTGAAGGGGGGGTGGGAGAGGAGGGGAGGGAGAGGGAGCTGGTTTGACATGTGAGGCAAACTTGTTTCTAATTTTAATTAAAGGAAAAATAAATTGTTTTAAAACAGAAGCAAGACTTCCTGCAGTAGCCTTAATCTGTTCCTTGTTTACAAGTGAGCTCATCGTAGAATAAGAATAAACGCTATAGCAGCAGTTCTCAACCTGCGACCCTTTAATACAGTTCCTCACCCGGTGGTGATGACCCCCAACCGTAAAATTACTTGGTTGCTGCTTCATAACTGCAATTTTGCTACTACTACAAATTGAAATGTAAATATCTGACATGCAAGATATCTAATTATGTGACCCCAGTGAAAGGGTCATTTGGCCCCCAAAGGGGTCGCAACCCAGTGGTTGAGAACAGCTGTGCTACAATAAGTCCCATTTGAAGGTTGATCGTGTGGAATTCTCAACGCAAGCAGTGGGAAAGCCCAGCTTCTAAGCCAAATGGTGAGGGTTGCCTCTAGGAAGACTTTCTAAGGGTAATACGGGCAAATAGAGCCCAGTGGGTCAGGTTCAGGCTGGAATGGAATCAACTTTGTTGTGATTATGTTTAATGAGGATAACCAGAATGAGATAATTACTGCCACAGTGTAATCATTCTTATGTCAAAATTGCTAATTTACACCAGCCATCCTATGAATCCTTGAAATGCAGCCACACTTCCACAAATTTGCATGAAGGAATATGGCATCCACAAAGAGTATTAGACCACAGCTTCACACCCAAAGCCCTCAATAATAGGCAATGTGATTCTACATGAGGTACAGCACATATTGTGGTAGTCAGTTTTAGGTATTAGGTTACCACAACCCAGAATTGCCTGGGAGGAGACCCTCAGTTTTTCTTACATTGGATTGGACTATGGATGCGTCCACGGGGATTATCTTCACTGAGATGCTTGGTCGGGGAATGTTGAGCTCACTGTAGGCATCACCATTCCCTGGGCAGGGAGTCTTAATCACCCCACAATTGCATTTATTCACATCTCCATACTTATTTAACTATCCATTCTCTCAAACACTGATTGAAACTCTTTTACATCATTGCCGTCTTTGAGAGGCTATACTGATTCTTTAAGATCCAATTAGATGAAATCTGTGGAAATCTCTCTAGGCCTATCATGCTCGTGATTGAAGAAACCTCCTTGTCATCATATCCGTGTATTGCTAGATTTTTGTTTGTCTGTCTCCTCACTTGGTAAGAATAAAAAAAAAAAGCCTACAGGCCTTTTCCGTGAGAATAGTGTGTTAATTTGTTTTCTGTTGATAATACAAATGTCTGCCACTAGATACTCTATAAAGTAAGAAGGTTTATGTGACTTATGGCCCATTTTGGTTGAAATGTCTGCACATCATGGAAGTAAGCACCAGGTCCTGGCAGGATGGCCTCAATTTATACAACTTATTCTCACGAAAGCTAACTCACTCCTCTAAGCCAGCATTAGCTTCCTCCTAGTGCCCGTGAGCTGGTTGCTTCTGGCCAGGCTCCATCTGTCAACAGTTTCAGGGTCTTAGCACTGCCACACTGCGTGCAAAGCTTCTAGAACATGAACCTTTGTAAGACGGACACACTCACGCCACATCCAAACCATGACAAACCCTATGCATCGCTCCCTTGTTAGATCGTTTCCAGACCTCCCATGAGGTCCAGCTTTGTCTCTTTATGGCAGGACTAAGAGGCATTAAACTTCATTTTCCCATTCTTTACCAAGACAGGTAACTCCAAATTGTGATTTACAGTTAGGCTGTTTTGCGGCCTGGCTTCAGGTTAAATGGCAATGGTAGTTGGCAGTGGACTCAGAGTCCTGTTCACTCCTCTACCCCCTCACAAAGCTGATGGGCTTTTCAAACAAAGTTTCCCACCATCGATCACCCATTGTATCTCTGCATCTGTCAAAGTTACATAACATGCAGAATTCACTATTTTTTGTTTGTTTGTCCGCTTGTTTTGGAGAAGAACCCGTGATGAAGTCTAGACTGGCCTTTTATTCTTGGCTCTCCTGCTTCAACCCCTTGAGTCCTGGGATTTCAGGCATGTGCGGGCACATTCGGCTCACGTACAGCGTTTTCATTTGGCTGTCCATCAGAGCCTGCGAAAATAAGCAGTGCACACTCTTGTACTGTCATTCTGCAGATACAGCAAGGAGTAGAAATTTTCAGCCACTGGGTGAAGACCTGCACCAAGAGAGGGTGTCAGATCCTAAAACGCCCAGTCTCATGAACTTCACACTACATGCCATTACATACATGCCATCACATGTTTTCCATGGTGTCTCCTGGATCTGCCCATCCAACAAACTAACTCAGCTAGATATTTCTCAGACAGGTCCAAGGAAGGCTCAGTACAGGAAACAACACTAGCCGCAGAGTTGATAAGCTAAGCTGTGAACACTGGTTAGGAAAGTGAGCTCAACCTCAAGCCTATTGTTAGATACTATTGGTGTTAATAGACAGACAAACTAGAAATGGGGTTTTATTCTCCGTCAATGAGAAAGTCTGTCATGGAACATATTGAGGCTTCGAGAGATCGGTAGGAGTGAAGTTACCTCAGCTATCTACGGGGGAGACATCACAGCTCTTCAGCTCACACCCACCCTTTTCCAAATTCCTCACAGACTCCCCCCCAAAGACTTCCCCAATATGTTAAGAGATGGATGAGAGAAGAAAGGGTGTTTTTTTTCCTTCCCGAAAGCCTAACGTGTTGTTTTGCACAATCTATTCTCTCTCTCCCTCTCCCTCTGCTCTTGAAGAAGAAAGGAAGAAAAAAAAAAAGAACTCTCCCAATTCAAAATAAAATCACAGGAAAGTTCAGAGACTATTAATGAATGGCAGGTGTTACCAGGGAAAAATGAATACTCAATTGAGCTTTTGCTTTCGGCAAAACATTTATTTTGAATGTTTATGAAATGCATCCCCTGAAGAAAATAAACACTATATGCTTCGGAGAGCCAAATGATTTGTCTTGTTCCTCCAAGGTGACCCTCGCTATTTTAATCATTTCAGACGAGCGATCATGTGACGTTTCAAAATAAAATGTGTTTCTGGAAGCTGAAAACCAGCTCCCAGACGGTGAAAAGCCACACTGCCCACCCTTTCTACGGCCTAGTTTGCACTTTCCATCTTATCCACGCCTGTTTTTCAACTTATCAGGATGAGATTATTTTACAAGCGCAGGAGTCTAGCTTTGGGACTCTCTGCCTCGATTTTACTGTGTATGGGAAAGGAGCAGTCGAAAAACATCTCAAATGTGTGTGTGGTACTCTTCACCCCCACCTTAACAGCTCGGGACCCTGAGAAGCAGTCCGGGCTTGGATCCTGTCTTTCTGACAGCCACGGCTCTAACCGTGAAGAGGAACGCCGTGAGAGATTTGCTCACTCCCAAGTGCTCACACCTAACCCTTTCCTTTGGCTGCCAAGACTCCCTGTGCAAACAAGCAACACACAGCCTTTCTCTCCTTCTGCAGAGACAGAAGGCGGCACCGGAAACTTTTAACCACTAGGTGGTTCGGCCACTAAATGTGCTGCGGTTTCTAACATTCTTATGCAACCAATTTACGGCTTCTTTCTGTTCTCCCTTGTTCCACAACTCACCAAGATTCGGTGTGGTTGAGAACGCCAATCAGTCCCTCTTCCTTACAACGGGGCCCCTCTGTTACTGATGGTTATGGTCTGGTCCGGTCCAAGTGTTCCCAGGCTCTTCTCGGCCCTTATCCAGGGAACTGAAAATAAAGAGCTTCACTCAGATGTGCAAAGGAAACAAGGTAACTTTATTTGAAGCCGAGAAATAACGCGGAGACTAAAGAGGGAACGGCAATGGGTCACATGGGATTGGAGGGAAGGAGTGGCTGGCTTTACTAAGGGCATGGTTTGGGTGGTCCTCTATTTTTGGTCGATAGATGAGGTTGTATAATATCTTCTGTCCTGTGTGTGTGACCCTTCTGCTAGGCACACGATGATAAATAGGGGGTTCTCCCTAACAGGTGACTAGAGGACAGTTTAGCTCTTTGGTACGTGTACCTACAACCAGTTCAGACCACACTGGCCTCTTTGTTCTCCATACCCAGACATGCTATGAGCATACTTGAAGAGAAACTGTCTCAACCAGTGGTGGGAAAACTTAGATCGTAGTTCAGAGAAGGAAGTGGGTATGGCCTGATGCAGGTGGTAGTGGAGAGGTTTTTTTTTTTTTTTAACTTGGTAGGTGCAATTTTGCAGGAGAATGTGTGGGCATAGAACATTTAAGTTAAAGAACTAGGCTGCCAGTCGCATAGGAGGAGGAAGGTGTAGATTAACCAAAACCAAATGGGTGTCCCACAGCACTAAACTGTCTCTTAGTCTCGAATGCCTTACCTCCTTGTGCTCCTATGGGCAGGACACAATCTTGTAACTGTGTTAAGTAGCTGTAGGTTGAAAACTCTGTTCTTTTTATACTTGTAGCTTATAATTTGGAGAGAAAAAAAGAAAGCTGAAAAGAACATAAACACCTCTCTGTCTGAATTTTATTTTTTAAAGTAAAAGAACAGTCATACTTTTTTGTTGTGTTTTGAGATGACACATGGAGATGAGGTACGTAAAACTCCTAAAATGATGCCTCAAATTTGATAAATGCCCAACTATGCAACTCATCAATACAGTTGTTGGGATGTACTGATTATTAACTGATTATTACTGATTATTAACCTGACAGGATCTAGAATCACCTGGAGACACATCTTCAGGCCTGCCTGTGAGAGACTGACTAGATTAGGTAGCCTCTGTGCACGCCCGTGAGAGATTGTCTAGATTAGGTTAGGTTTGGGAGGAAGACCTGACTTAACTCTGAGGTTTCGGACTAAGGAGAAAGCAAGACAAACATGAGCAGCCATCTTCCTTTACATACTGGTTTCAGACGCAATGTGACCGGCTGCCTCAGGCTCCTGTCAGCATGACCTCCCCCATCCTGATGGGCTGCACCCTGGAAATGGAAGCCACAACGCACCCTCTTTAATTTACCTTTGTCAGGGTGTTTTCTCATAGCAGCAAACGAGCAACTAGTACAATGCCACCTACGCTGTGAACTTCTCAAGGGTAGGAAACATAGCCTTTTGAGATGGAAAATTATGCTTATAAATGTATAAACCAACAAAGCCTCTGGCACACAGTTAGGTTTTAGAGTATCGTCTTAGTCTGGGTTTCTATTGATGTGAAGAGACACCATGATCACGGCCACTGTTATAAAGAAAAACATTTCATTGGTGCTAAGGCTTAGTCCATTATCCTCATGGTGGGAAGCATGGTGGCCAGCAGGTAGACATGGTGCTGGAGAAGGAGCTGAGAGTCCTACATCTTGATCAGCAGGCAGCAGGAAGTGAGCTGAGTTGAGCTGCTAAGATTTCAAAGCCCGCCCCCACAGTAACGACACTTCCTCCACCAAGTCCACACCTTCTTATGATGCCACTATGTATACACCAAGCATTCAAACACATGACTCTATGGTGGCCATTCCTATTCAAACCACTGCAGAATGAATGATCAGAGAGATCAGATATAGTGGGATATATACGGTAGAGATGGTTTTTTCTCTAACCTTTAAACTGCAATAAAACCTTTAAGACCGCCTACAAACCTTCTTGACAGAGTCAGGCCACCCAAAGACACAAGCAACCTATTTTTACCAGCTCATTGTGTTCTAGACACAGCGGTAGTGACATCACTGAGAGTAGGGACTTGGAGGACAGACGCTGAGAGCTTCATTTTGTAACCTTCAGCCATGCTTTGCTTAGCTGCATAATGATAATTCATGCCACTTGATTGATTTCTCATGGGAACTTAGGAGAAGAACCCACAAATGGTGCTTAGCATAAATCTTCACATATATCAAATGCTTAGCACATGAACGAAACTTGCTGGCAGTAAATCCCAACTCTTGCTTACCTTAGATTATTTTACCCCTTATTCTCTCTGCTTACATAACAAAATTCCAGGTTGGTGTAAGTATTTTGTTTTTCAAAAGGCCACTAAACTGCCCTTGGATTTTATAATTTCTGTCTCAGAGTCTGCTGTGGTTTAACTCCTGGACCTTTGGAAGGAAACACGCCATTGTTCTCCGGTGGGCAGATTATTACCTTTGAATTTTAGACCTCAACTGCATTCTTTTATGACAGAAAGAGGTTTGGAAATTCTGCGCTTGACTTGGAGCTGACGCAACTTTATGAATCACACACAAGCTGATACTGTATAGTGACTTCTGGGAATTCTTAGTCTCCATGTTTTTGAGTGTTGCCTTCCAAAACTGCACTTTTGAGGCCGTTCACGAGATAAACATTGGAGAATGTACCTCACTTTAACACCCTGTCCTTATTACTTGTGGTCTGGCTTGACTATGAAGTGCCCCCCATTAGCTGCTGAATGCTTAGTTGGATGGTGGTGCTATTTGGGGGCCATTCTAGAACCTGAAGGAAGTAGGCTCCTGGAAGCAGGTCCTTGGGGGGGCTTACTCTTGTTCCTCCCATCCCTCGCACCATGGTGTGGCCTGCTTTCTCTGCCGCTCTTCATGAGGTGTGTCTGAAGTTGAAGACCAGACAGAGCATTCTTCAATTAATCTCTACCCCATTGGTTAAATATCTAACTCACAAAGGCAACCGATGCCAGGAGTGAGGTCATTGTTGCAATTAGTACTGACAATGGGTTCCTTGGGCCTTTGGGCCTGGTTTGCAGGAGGAATCTCAAGGGGTTGGGAACTAAAAGCCACAGAAGAGAATTTAGTGGGAGATTCTGGCGGGGGCTCGGGAGATTTAATGCTGATAGGCACGTGGAAGGAGAAGACTGTGCCCATGAGGTTTTATAAGAGAACAAGGTCTCTGTTGGGAAGAGGGCTGCAGTTCACTTATGGCAACAATCTTGCTACATTGTTTTCTGTTATGAGTCTTCTAAGGACAGTAAGGTTAAAAGTGATTAATCTGGTGGAGAAATTTTCATTGCAGTCCAATATTCAGGCTGTGGCATGGTTATTGCAATCTCTCTTAGCCATATTTACAGTAAGGATTGAGAGTCAAAAGCTGAGCAGGTAGATCAAAAAGAACAAACAAACAAAGAAACCTTCATCCAGAAAAGACCATGCAATGGTTGGAGCTAAGACAAGAGTATTGTTGAAGACCAAATCATTAAAAGGAAGTCATATACTATGCATTAGAACAACAGTAAAGATGCCTAGAAGGCATTTTGGGAATTTGGGAGACTCCCACACACCACAAGCTCAAAAGTATAAAATGTTATACTCATTTAAAAGGATGTCTCTGGAGAAGAGATAGTTTATGGGATGCTGCAGACATGTGGGACCGCCTAGGAAGTTGTTTTGTAAGGACCTGGTTCACCCTGCACAGTTCTTTGGGTACCCAAAGGACAATAAGGACGTAGTCCAAGTGCATCAGATGACTGATCAAGCTAGCAGAAGATGCTTGTGTCATCCATGTGATGCCAATTCTGTAGGCATGTAAAATATATAAGAGCTGCAAACTGCATTCCAAGGCTAACATTCCTGTAAGCCGCTCTTAAAAAGTGACGTGTGAAGACATGACGATAAGGCCCAGCCTGGAGATCTCAGGCTGCCGGAGACACCAGGAACGTGTTCTGCTTTTCCAGGAAAGCTACAGAGACTGACTGGAGCCCTGCCCGAGAGAGACACTATGTGAATTTCAAATAACAGTCGTAGGTAAGGCTGCCCAAGCCCATTGGAACTCACACAACTGTGCTATGTGCCGCAGACTGCTGACAACAGAGCTACAGAATCTGCTCTCAAATTCATGGCCTCTATTTCTTTAATTTATATATGCATAGACACACGCACACATACACACATGTGTATGATTTCAGGGGATGGTTCTTTAGTGTTTGGTAACAAATTGGGGGGATCTCTTTTCTGAGTAAAGTCGTTTCTTCCACTCTCAGCCTTCCTGAATTCCTCGTTGTTCTTTTTATAGATGGAGCCCCACTCAGTTAGGCCACTTGAAGTGATAATACTCCCCCCCCAAACGCCACAGACCACTTTTAATAAAAATCCCAATCATGTATGGGGGGGGTGCCTCCACTTGAGCTGTTGGTCAGAGGAGTCAAAGAGATTCCCCCAAATAACACAGACTGTTGCTGTTGCCACTCAGAACCCGGAGGCAAGCGAGACATTATTGCTGAAGACACCGCATACTTTGGACATAGTTTGGGAAAAAAATAGCCAGAACTAATGTAAAGGCCTCTTCCCTGCTGACTATCGCTCATAGCCTCCAAGGGTTCTGTGCAAGCTTTCAAGAGAGGAAAGCAGGCAACAGTCCTAACCAGCTGTAAGGATGGGACCACAGCAACAACCAGCTGACGAGCTGTCACCAAGGGTGCAATCAAGGCACTTTCTCTTGAGGAATACCAACAGCTGTCTAGTTGGGCTTAAGGCCTGCTCAGTAAGAGGGAGTTCATGCCTGACAGTGTAAGTCCAGCCAACTAGTGTAGATGGTGAGGTCATCAAGGAGAGCCTACCACTATTGCTACTTTACTAAACCCGTATAACCACTAATTGCACTCTACATACTCATCCTTCTACTTTCAGGAAGGTGTAGCTCTCACAGCTTATCAAGAAACTTCTTCTTGCACTAGAAGAGGGCCATTACAAATATCCACGTCCGTCCAAATGCAGAGAGCAACTGCCCATGGGGTGCCCAACCACAACTGATGCATCTATAACACAACCTTCACACCTAAGGCTCAGGGAACATCACAGACGTTGGGGGTGAGAAGACTGAAGTACCCAGAGGACCAAGATGACTGGGAAGCAGCACTCATGAAATCTCAAAGATATGGGCACAATGAGCAAGACTTGCACAATGACAATACCAGTTGACATGCCAACATGAACGGAGGAAATGTCACAGTGTCTTATCCCTGGATAAAGAATTACAGGCAATTATTGGATACTGAGAGGGTGCAAACCAGTCTTCTCCAGGGATGGGCCTCCATCCCAGCTTACCTAAACCCAAGTACTCAGCCCTATACTAATACACATACAGGCAATACAAAGTAGACATAATTAAAGAAGAAGAGGTCATGAACTCAACAAGGAGGGAGCATCAGAGGATTTTGAGGAGGGAGGGATAGAAATGATGCTAATGCAGTACTTATATATGAAATTCTCAAAATAAAACAATAAATTTAAAAAGAGAAGGAAAATTGTTCACAAGGAACTTATTACATATGTTCATAAATATAGATATTTTAGCACAAACTGGACATTATGAAATGTTAATACCATTGTTGAACATAATAAAGAATGGCTACATTCAATTTTTTTCTTCTGAGATGCAAAGTTTATTTCATTTTCTTTCTACCCAACAAAAACACTCACAGGTCATCACTATACCTCCTTTGCTCTTTGAGGTAATAAAAGAGTTACTTCAAGAACATTTTTCAAGACTAAGAAGAAAAGAATAAGATATCAAAGTCTGTAAATTGCATTTGGCAAAAGTGTGTGCATAAATCATCATTTGGGGTGGGGAATAAAAGCCTTCGAATCCATTTATTCCCTCATTAAATTCACTCAGCATCCTGTATACGAATACACTCAGAATAATAATAACAATACTTGTTTTTTAAAGTGGCCCACTTGATAAAGATAATTAAATAAATTAATTCCACAGGAAGTTTTCTGCTTTCAAAACTCACTAAAATTTCAACATAGACATAAGGGTTGGTTTCCCTAAAGCTTCCAAGGTGAAGACAAATCTCTCTGTCTCTCTGTCTCTGTCTGCCTCTCTGTCTCTCTGTCTCTCTGTCTCTCACACTACTACTACTATTACTACTACTGGTTTCTCCTGGAAAGGGTGAGTGTGAATTCAAGTTGCCACTATTAACTCATCAAAGATATACAGCTCAACAGCACATTTACCCAGCCTGATTCCTCCTTTGTACTAGAGTTGACATTTGGGGATTGACGGTCGGCATATGCACATGGCCCACACCTTAGAGACCACAGAGAAGCTTTCTCTCTGTCAGGTCCTTGATTCTTTCTTGATCTTCCCCGGGATTCCTTGGGCCCCAATGGGACTGCACTTCGGAACCATCTCTTTCCCTTGCACAAGTGGTCATCTCTTCACTCTGCCAGATGCCATCTCAATAATCCTGGGACAGAACATTCTGAGAGGCAGAGAAAAAGGAGGCGGGAAGTACAGCGGCCTCACAGATAACCTTACTAGGATGGAGTGCTTCCTAGCGGTGAGTCTTTTTACACGGCTCAGAAATCCTCTGGGTACCTTGCCATAGGTTTCCTTGAAGTATTTCACCATTGAGGATAGGTGAGGAGACTCGTCCTGACACACTGCCCTCCGTGGAAAGGTTAACATTCTCTCCACTCCACTGAGGTATCTCCACCAGACACAGTCTACACTGAGTCTTTAGGCTTGCTGCAGAAGGCCTTCAGGACCAACAGCTTAAAGCAGAGCTCAGGATTGTCCTAACCCAACAACATGGCCACTGGCTCAGACACATACACCATGGTGTTTACCTTAACTGTATCATTAACATTTCCAAGTGGGCACTGATGGCCTCACGTTTGAGATCTTTATGGGGGTGCAGACTTTTCCACCCATTTAGGAATTTAGGAGTGGAATAATCATTGGGGTTTTCAAGTTTCCCCTTTTGGGAGTTACCAGGCTCTCACCTTCCCTGCTGCACTCCCCCTCCCCCGTGTGCCCTCCCCTCCTCCCAGAGAAGAGCAGGGCTCCTGGCTTTGAAACCCAGCCTCCACAAAGACATAAGGTCAGAGACCTCTGAGATGTGACAGATCCCTCCCAGATAAACAGCAGGAAAGTGTGCTGAGCCCCAGCTCGGTTCAAACTTCAAATAAGGTTTATAACCTGGAGACCTTTGATCTGTCTGGACAGGGCTTGAGCGTTTGGAACCCCAAAGCTCACCCACGGTGACACACTTCCTCCAGCAAGGCCACACCTACTCCAACAAGGCCACGCATCCGAATCCCTATCAAGAAATGCCACTCCCTAATGACCAAGCTTTCAAATCTATCAGTTTATGGGAGCCATTTTTATTCAAATCACTATGCCACCACAGTACAAACTGGTGAATCGATGACTTTACTGGGGTTACTTACAGGAATGTGAAATGAGGGGTTACTTACTGGAGCAGAAATAGCTCAAAGACAGCTATACCCTTCAAAGCCCTGCTCTGCATGGTTGATGGCTCACAAAAGCTGGAAACCTAGGGTGAACTGCATAGCTTGAAGTTATAAAATAAGATAAATAAATTATCTAGACCAGTTAGAAAGTGTCCTTTTCAAGCAGCTTTGCTGTTCTCTAATGCTTCTAAGCAGACTGGCAGACCTAAGAGTGTCTCTCAGGTATCCTCACTGCTAATGTAAACTTGAGAAGGTGGGGCTTAATGGATATGGCCAGTTTCAGGGAAATTCTGAAGCTACTGAGTTGTTCACTTCCTGACTTTTAATGAGCTTGTAAATGAAATGCTTTCACTTCTCTTTAAACACCTTTTGTCTTAAAGAGCTTCCTTACAAGATGGAATATTTCAGGCCAGGCATGGGTGGCGCACGCCTTTAATCCCAGCACTCAGGAGGCAGAGGCAGGCAGATCTCTGTGAGTTCGAGGCCAGCCTGGTATACAAAGCGAGTTCCAGGACAGCCTCCAAAACAATACAGAGAAACGCTGTCTTGGAAAAAAAAAAGATGGAATATTTCATCTAAGAGAAAATTGCTACAAAATAACATCCAAATAAAGACACTAAGAAGAACTTGTGTTATGAATCCAATCTATCTTTCTTTTCACACGTGGATGCACACTTATCATCCAAGAATACTTGACTAACGCAATAACCTGATACTTCACTATATTAATCAGCTTTTTGTTGCCAGGATAAAACACCAATGAAATCAACCTAGAGAAGGGAAGGTTCTCTTGTCTCATTGTTTTAAAGGTATCATTCCATCATCACTTGGATCCACTTGCTGTGAACCTGTGTGAAGTCAAAGTGCCATCATGTGAACTCTTGAAGGAACAAATGTACTCACTTCATGACGCCCAGGAAATGGAGAGAGAAAGAACCGAGGGTCCTAACTTTTGTTGCTGGGGTTTTCTTGTTCTGCCAGGTCCTGCTGCCCTTCTCAGCCCCAAATAAACACACAGAGACTTACATTCATTATAAAACTGTTGGTCAATAGCTAGGCCTTCTTATTGGCTAGCTCTGTCTTAATTATTAACCCATAGCTACTAATCTATGTATTTCTACATGGCCTTATCTTACCAGAGAATGCCTGGCGCATCCTATCCTCCTGGTACCTCCATGGCGTCTCTCTTGGCAGCCTCTCTGCCTAACTTTCCCAGAATTGTCCTCATCTCCTAGTCCCGCCTATCTTCCTGCCTCTGCTGGCTATTGGACAAACAGTATTTTATTCATCAATCAATAAGAGAAACATATGTACAGAAGGACATCCCTCATGAAACCTTTCCTTCAAGGGCACACCCACACTTGCCTACCTTCTCTGACTAAGCTCCTTCCCAACTCTTCCACGCACTGGCAACCCAGCCGTTTAGCACGTGGCTTTTGGTGACATTTAAGATCAAAACTCTAACAGTCTGAGACTCTAGTTAACAGCTACAAAACTATCTTGCCTAATTCTTGATGTTGAGTCTCAATCAACAGCAACAACAAAAACAAAAGAGGTATTCTCACATTTTGTACTTGGTCTTAGCCAAATGCAGAAAAGCCGACTTCGAATTCATGATGTTTGAAGCACAACCTGTCAATTCACTGATCTCTTCAATTACACCAACTCTAAACATGCTTTAGCCACGGTTTCCATATTAGATGTAGACGTTACGCATTCAAAGTAAGTTTAGAAATGCCCCTGATATTTTTCAGTCACTCTGTTCTTAATCTTGTGTATAATCTTGAATGTGTTTTTATTAACTCTCATGAATTAGCATTATATGGTAAGCAAGTGCTGGAGTAATTAAAGGTGCTAATGACCTAACCATTCGTAAATACTTTTTTCTGTCTCGAATTACCCGAGCACTTTCCTACTCACTCTTGTATTCAGACAAGATAAAAAAAAATCATTTCTGTATATATCCATTTTAGATCAGAGCTCAGAAAGGTCACTGCACTTGCAGCTCTTCAAGTTACACTTAATAAAGGGTGAAAATGTCACTTACATTTTGTTTGAAAGAAATAACACTGAGAGAGGGGGAAGGAGTTGAGGAGGACAGAGGTCTCATCGTCCATTAAACCATCAGACAAGTTGATCCAGATAAGCAGTGAGGCTTTGGAAAGGATATCAGTTTCCCACAGACTTTAAACTGCAGAACCACACCTGTCTCTCAGGCCAAGAGTCTGCTTCAGAAACTATTCGCTTTTTGCATTCAGGTTTCAGGCTTCGTGAAACGTAAACCCTAGTCCCCACAACAACCAAACCCAGTCCCCACAACAACCAAATCCCATCCTAGGAAGATGGGATCTTCTTGTAAAGTTCCAAAGAGCGTATTTCACATACAAATCTTTATAAAGAATTCTGGAGGTAGCCCCAGATGAAAGATGATTGAGAAGAACGGATGCTGGAAAGCAGTGGATACTCTTTTCTCTAGTTGTTTCTTTAAGGCGTGGATCTGCCTGATGCAGATCAGTTGTAGAGTGGAGCAATGATCGGGAGTACAGCAAATAACTGAGAACTCTCGCTAGTGTCCTACACCCACACTATCACACTGACTTATTAGAGTCAGTGTCTATTTTTCAAAACGTGTCATGGGTGATCTTGAGTCTATTCACCCACTGTCAGCACCATGCAGTCTGTACACTCAAGGGAGTTGACCTTGCACAAGACACGCAAGTCTGGAAAACCGGAAGTCCAGAGTGCCCACTTCCTCTGCAGGAGCCCCATTACCATCCATAGATGATCACCTCTGGCTCCTCAGCCCTGTTGGAAGTCCCCGTATTTTGCCCCTATTATCTTACTGGGCACAATTATTGGTATCTCTCAAATCTGGAACTTGTAAACTAATTTGCTTCGGTTTCTTCTGGAATGCTGCAGATGAGACATCAGAGCCTAGCACTTGCCTAAATGGTTTAGTCACACAGATCTATCACCCGGCGGTCTTTCAGATAAAAGTGGCTGTCCATAAGACAGCCTCTTCATTTAGGTCATGAATCAAGTCGTCCTGGGCTCCCCCACATCAGTTTATGGATGTGAAGCAGCAATGCCTAACCCAGCAGGTAACCCTATATTCTGTGATCAGGTCTATCCTATTCTGGTGTTTGCTCTTAAGCAG